TCCTCACAAAGGTGCCGAGGGCATCATCCAGTATCCTCTGATGGCCCAGCGAGGCTTCCAGGTTTTTTTCTGACTGGCTGTTTACATTGTGTGGAACTGTATGTCACCAAATGGGTCCACCCCTGTTATCTTTGATTTGCAAAAGGCTTAAAATCTACAAATGTCAGAAGATTCATTATCATTGTTTTTATTCTACTGGCCTGCTATGGAGACATGGATACAAATATCACTGAAGTTTTTTAGAAGGAAAAATACTCTGAAGAGGGAATAAGGGATGATTGTTATTTCATTTTATCAATATAGAACTCTAAAGCTTTACTTTTGTATAGAAAAATAATGGTTTAGTTTATCACAAAATTTGACTGCTGGAATCTGTTAATTTTTTTTTTTTAGCAAAATGGAATTTCAGAGGTAGAAGAAATTTTACCTTTTAATTCAGAAATTTTATCTTTTAATTCAACACATCATTCCACAGATGAAGAAAGTTGATCCTTTAAAGGATCTGATGTGTAAATTCATGAGAATAATTTACATATAAGGCCTCCCTGGTGGTGCAGGGGTTAAAATATCAGCGCTATCAAGCTGTTGCCAGCCACTGCAGCATGAGTTGGATCCCTGGTCAGGGAGCTACACACATGGCTCAGCAGACCTCTCCTGTGTCACCTGCTGCTCCCTTCAGCAGTGTATTTAGTGGATCTGCCTGTTCTGCTCCCTATTCTGTCTCTGGTGAATCCTCTTACCCTCTACAGTTCTGGCCTATATCCCATTTCTTGTATGCATAAATAAAAAATAAATCTAAAAAATTTAAATATATAAATTATATAGATATAATAAATACGTAATTGCTTTCAAATTGAGGTGTGTTCTTTTAAATTGCTTTATCACTATCAATGTAGTTTGTTAATGGCCCGTTTTAATACTTTGCTTAATAGTCCTTTTCTTTGTGAGCACTTCAATCTATCTCCAGGTTAATCCAAAGTTTGAATTACTGCAGTAATGTGGTTAGGTATAATGTAGAGAAGTAGAAATGTTTGGCAACATGATACTCTCAGGGAACTCCTAAGCAAGGCCAGAGTACAGCACAATTTCAATGGTCACTATTGACAGAAAATAAAAAACAGTGGAGTAGTATGACAAGGTCCTCCTGCCTGACTCATAGCACACATTTCCTATCTGCTACCCATTGGTGCTCACTTGTCAAGAGAGGGAAGGCCTAACCAGACATCAAGGAGAAGATAGAGTAATTCCAACTGTGCCACTATGAAAAGCAGTTGTTAGAAACAACTTTTTTCAACACAGAGAAACTTATTTCAGGGGGGATTGGTAGAAAACATTTCCTTTAGTGATAGTAATAGAAGTTGGGATTAATTGTTCTCTTATGATGCCACCATGTTGTTGGCAGATTATATCTTTTAAAAAATTTTTATTTTATAGATATTTTATATTGTTCTTCCTTTTTGTACAATACATGCTTTCTCCTTTCAAGTGTAGTCCCCATAAAATTCCCACCACCAATTCACCCATGTACCATCACCAGTCCCTTGTGTAAGAACACATTCTCTCCCTGGTTTTGATCACTCTCCCTCCCCCTCCCCTGCTGAGTGTCTCTGATTAATAGTTGCCTGTTAATTTATTATAATTATTTTTCCTGGTCCCTTATTTGGTTCCCCTACATTCCTCCTATAAGTGAAACCATCTGATATTTTTCTTATTTTTTCTGGCTTATTTCACTGAGTATAATCCCTTCCAACTCCATCCATTTTGCTGCAAATTGCATGAGTTTATCTTTTTGATTGCTCAGTAATATTCCATTTTGTATGTATGCCACATCTTCTTGATCCAGTCATCTATTTTTGGGCATTTGAGTTGTTTCCATAGCTTAGCTATTGTAAATAGTGCTGCTATAAACATAGGGGGTGCAGGTGCCCCTTTGAATTAATGATTCTGTGTCCTCTGGGTAAATACCTAGGAGTGCAATTGCTGCATCATATGGAAGCTCCATCTTTAGCAGGTTAAGGAATCTTCACACAGCTTTCTATAATGGTTGCACTCCTTCCAACAGTGCAGGAGAGTTCTTTTTCCTCCACATCCTTGCCAACATTTGTTGTAGCTAGTTTTCTTAATGTGCCATTCTCACTGGTGTAAGATGGTATCTCATTGTAGTTTTGATTTGCATTCTAATTTTTTGCCCAGAGGAAAAATGCCCACATAAATACCCAGGCAAGTCTATGTGTAGCCTATGATTAGACAGACGTAGGACAGGGCTAATTATTGCAAAGGGTGTATGCCTAGATTTAGGGAAGGCTGTTATGCACTAATTAGGGAGCAAATCTGAATAGGATAACTGGAATAGTTATATGATTAAATAAGAGAAGAAAGGAAAGTGCTCAAAAAGAAGAGAAACTGGACAAAAGATATTTTTAGTAGCCCCAAGGAAAACTGTGCATGTTTAGTAGTGGGAAATTATAGTTTGTAAATCTGAAAATGGAAGGGAGAAGCTGAAGGTTTCAGGGTACAGAAGAAATAGGGATGCCCCCGTGTGAAATGAAATAGATATAAACGGAGTCAGAGAAGAGTTTTGGCAGTTTCCACTTCTGTAAACTTTGACAAATTAAACAAAGCTTAAGTCTCACTGGTCTGGCTGACTGAAAGTGGGAAAAGAGAAATGAAGACATCAGTCCCCACTGAACTTGGGTCTACATTTTCAAAGCACAGAGATGGTCAGATTGTTTAGTGAACTCTTTGCCGAGAGCCTCAGGCCTAATCTCTCTCCACTTCTCTTTCCCCATTCCATTTCTTCAACATATGTTAAGACTAATTTTAGCAAATCACAGCACTAGTCTTTTCACTCCTCAACTAAAGAAATTTCACTGGCTTCCTATGAATTCAAGAGTAAAATCTCAATACAGTCTTCAGCCTAGCTTTCAAAAAGTGTGACATAAAAGCAATAGACTTTGGAACAGAAGACCTGTGTCCAAATTACTGGTTCTGGTAACTATGGATGGGGCCTTAATCAAATTATTTTAATTCTCAGGGCCTGTTTCCTTATGTGCAAATAGTGGTTAATACTCAATTTTACACAGATATTGTGAGATAAATAGGATACATACATATACTGTAACTTGCTCACTAGTTTCCTACTTTCCTTCCTTTATGACCCATCTTCAACCTACTTTTCTAACAAAATTTTTGTTGGTATTTTTCTTCCTGAACTATTGGCTCTAGCCAAACAGAATTGTTTGTTTCCCTGGTATCATACCATATTCTTCAAGATCTCTGCCTATGTTTGTTTGTCATTTCATTCTATTCATTCAAAAAATTCACTGACTGTGTTGCACTAGGTACTTTTCTAGGACCTGGAGATCCTTAAGTGAACAAGTGGGACAGAGTTTCCTTCTAGATTATAGACCTTTTCCATGGACTGCTCTTTTCCTTTACACATGGAAATTGTCTTTCAAAATTTAATACAATGCATCCTCATTCCTGCATTTATCCAACACATAATTGGTGACATTTACTATGTGCAGAGTCCTGGTTCCGGCAGTAAGAATAAAACTCTGAAGACCCACCTATGGTGATGGTGCACGGGTGAATTGGTGGTGGGAATTTTACAGGGAATACACCTGAGAGGAGAAAGCATACAAGCATACATTGTACAAAAATGAACAATGATGTAATATATATATATAAATATTAAAAAATAAAAAGTCTTATTGAGTACCCACTATTTGCTAGACACGATACCAGGGATTATGAGTACAAAAGTGAACAAAGAACCTGAACTTAAAGAGTATTTACTCCAGTGGAGAAGACAGACAAATGGACAGGCAATTACCATTCATTGTGCTCTGCTGGAGATAACTTCAGAGGGTTATAGGATCTTCCCAGAGTTGAGAAGTCAGTGATTTACAGAGTGGTAAAATGTAAGTTGAGACCTTAAAGCAGGCAGTAGTAGTTTAGAGGTGGCATTCCAGGAAGAAGGGAGAAAGGGAAATCTTTTGTTATTCCCCAAAACCCGGTGCTCAATATGCCATCTTTTTTTGCCCCTTGGGCCCATTCCCTGCCTGCCTCACTCATGCTTTGGAAGTCAGCTTAAAAGCCACCTCCTCAAAAGACGTCCTCAGGCAAAATTAGTCATTCTCTCCTCTTTTTCTACAGTGATGTCTCTACTTTATGAACCAAAAATAAGGCCACAGCCTGAGAGTGATTTTTTCCTGATATGTAAACAATTTTTTCAGACGTTATAGATGTGGAAATTAAATGTCTTATTCATTTAACAAGCTTTCTCTACTACAAGGGAAAACAGAAAACAACTGAATATCATATACTTGCACCCCAAATTTCAAGCACTATCTTACTACTTGCAGCAAGGGCATACTCATCTTAGTGGAATTTTGACTGAAGGCAGAAGATGGGGCAGTTACTAGGGCATTTGTTAGCAACCAATAAGGGAAGAGCCCACAGCAGAGGCAGGAAAGGAGCCGGCTCCAGCTTGCAACCGGCTCCAGCGCGTCCTGCATCTCTGGGCACAAGTAAATCACAACATTGTGATCTAATGGATTCTCTTACTAGCAGGCTACCCAATCCCCTCCCCTTTCCACACACTGCGAGCTGGGACGTCGTTGACTTTCCAGCAAGCCTGGCCACCTCATTCGGCGATTAAGATTCAACGTAAAAGTCCCCAGTCAGGGAAATTTTCTTTCCCCGTTCGCCCGCTAGCCCGCCCCACGGGTGCTTCCGCAGCCTGAGGTCCTTACAGCTCCCGATCGCGGGCTGGCATCTGCGGGGGCCCCTGGGTTACCCCGCCCCCAGGCCCCCAGGCGCCAGCTCCCGAGCCACCGCGAAGCCTGGGCGGGTCTGAGGCGCGCAATAAGAGCTCTCCCACCCGGAGCCAGGGGGAAGGGGACCGGTCCTCCGCGGCAGCCGGCAGAGAGCCGTCCCGATCACGTGACACGCCGATTGTCACGTGGTCCCCTCACCTGACCACGGCCTCACGTGGCCCAGCCGGCTGGCAGGGAGGAGACCGGCGGGCCATGGCAGCCTCCCCCACGCTTTGGTTTTCGCTGCTGCTGGCGGCAGCGATCCCTGGGCGAGCCACGGCCATCTGGCCTTGGCCCCAGTACATCCAAACCACCAGCTATCACTACATCATTTCCCCGAACCACTTTCAATTCCAATACCACAACCAGTCGGCCGCGCAGGTGGGCTGCTCAGTCCTCGACGAAGCCTTCCGACGCTACCGAGTTCTGCTCTTTGGTACCAGGAGTTGGCAACATCTCCCATTTGGTGAGTAGGACCTGCCCCGCCTCGTGCCAGGCTCCTGAGAGAGCCTGCCTTGGGGCAGCGCCTCCAGATGTCCTGAGACGCCCTTCTTTGAGATTTTGCCCAGTCCTCATCACAACGCTCTGTTATCCATTTCCTCCTGCTGCTCTTTCCCTCTGTCTTCTCAGCCGCCTCCAAGTTTAGACCCCTATCTCCGTCCGGTTCACTGATACACGTCTGGGGGCTGGATTTGAATCCTGCCCTTGGGCTTACATTTTCACCAGAAATGCCAGCCATAGGATCACAGTTCAGTTACTGAAAATGCCTGTCATCTGTGGTGAACCCTCTGACCATTTCAAACCTCACAGGGTTGTGGTTAGGTTGTGACCAGGGCTGGGTAGAGGAGGCTATAGCTGTTGGCACCCAAAATTGCTAAGACAAAACATAGAGCTGTGTTGACATATGCAATTGACATGGAAGTGTCTGACACATAGCATGTTCAATAAATGTTTAAACTATGAGAGAAGTTATACAACACTTCGGAAAGGAAATGAGTTTTGAGAAGCTACTTAAAAGTGAGGTGGAGGATAGAGCCAGTTACCTTGAAACTCAAAGAGCTGGGCTGGTGTGTGTGATGAGGTTGGCAAAGTGGGATTGAAATGAAGTCAGGAGTGCTTTGGATATTGGTTTCATCTAAAATAGAAACTAGCAATTTTCTTTAAGGCAACTTCTGAAAATTGTGTTTGAGGATTATCATTTCACAGCAAATGGATGCATAGAGTTAGCAACACAAAGGAGTAAAATTCTACGTTATGGGCTTAAAGTTCTTAGAGTTTTCTTGAAAACCTGCAATGTACTTCTCTGGTTATAATGTTTATAGGTATTTGTGAGGGAAGCCATATTTGGTTGGGCCATTTTGTGTGATGGCTCAGGTGTTCTTAAATTATTTTCAAATGGTCTCATTTGATATATAAATTTATAATTAGAGAATGACATGATTTAGGGAAAGAAATAGAGTCTCAGCATGAAGATTGTCCTTTTTTTTTTAATGCATACAAGAACTGGGGTACAGGCCAGAGGTGTGGGAGGTGAGAGGATTCACCAGAGACAGAGAAGGGAACAAAACAGGTAGATAAACTGAAGTACACTGCTGAGGGGAGCAACAGGCGAGTCAGGAGAGGTCTGCTGCACCATATGGGTAGCTCCCTGGCTGGCTGGGGATAGAACTCGACGCTGCAGAGGCTGCTGATAGCTTCACAGCGCTGCGCTTAACCCCTTGTGCTACCAGGGAGGCCCTGAAGATTGTTCTTAACTGGTAAGGTGCACTGGGCTGGAAGGATGAAAGACTTGCTGTTGTGTATATTATAGATCACATATTTGTCTGAATCCTTCATGACATATAGAATGCCTTGCCAAGATTGACACTCAGAACGTGTTTACTTTGGTTATAGGACAGTTAGGGCCTGGCTTGTGCAAAGAAAATATATCTGCTACCTAACTCATATGTGCCTATTCCAGTGCTGGGCATTATGGTGGTTAAGATCTAGGCTGAAACTTTATGGTCCATTTGGGAAAATATGAAGCTGAAAGACACAATGTATTATAAAATGCTCAGAAGATAGAGTGTTTACTACTATTGTATAAATTAGGAAAAATACTTGTAAATTAAGCCTTTTTCTCCATATCTAAAGGACTACAGTCTAATCAAGATAATAGAAATGGGGGGGGGTTATAGGACAATGGACAATGGTGTGTGGCAAATTCCCTTATTAAAGAGATTTACAGACAAGAAACTAAATAACAGATAAGAAACTAAATAAGATGTTTGTTTCAGTTTATTACTGTCTTGTGAATGAAATTGCTTTATTGGTTGGGGTTCTTGTCCATTGAGATGTAGTGAAAATGGATTTGGATGAACGTTATCGAAGATGTGCATACAAATAACTTCCTTCTTTATTGTTTTTCCTAAATAACCTTACCGTTGCAATGTAGTTTCCTGGACTTTGAATGATTTGAGCCTAGTTCAAGTCTTATTTCCTTGATCTATCATTGCTGCCCCTGCCTTGGCTATTCAGCTTGAAGACCATATGTAGTGGTGGTGCAGACCATAGTCTGCAACATGATTTATTCAGGAGTCAGAGAATGTTAATTAGTTGTTTGTTTAATTCTGTGGCCTTAGGTGAACTGCCTAGTTTTCAAACTGCTGCTGCTTAAAAAAAATAAATCCGCATTCCAGTCTTTTCTAATGAAAAGGAGGAGAGTGATAAATGTCTTTACATTCTTTGAAGGAGGAAACTTGGTGATTTTAAAGAAGAAAGAATGTGCACAGATCAGATAATGACCAGGTATATGAGAAGAGAAATCAGTTTTATTTGGGAGTTGATGTGCAAGAAGGCAGGAGATAAACTCAAATTTACCTCCCAAAAGAAAGGAAATAAGGTTATATAGGTTTAGGGGGCCAGGGTTGAGAACAAATTGTCTGAAAAATGGGTTAGGGACAAAGAAATGTGGACTTGGCTGGAGTTCATTAGCTAGTCACAAAACATCTCAGCCATGAAGTATGAAGAGACTTTTCTTCAGATAACTGGAATTTTGAATTTCTGTTGGTGCCCCCCTGTCTCTGGCTAGCCCCCTTCTCTTCTGCATTCTCCGTCCCCACCTGTCCTTCAAGCTCAGCTCAAGATGTGCTTCTGCTTTGCTCAGGCTGAGTCATTGGATGATAAGATCAGGGGCTGTGTCTATAGAAGCACCTCTAAGGGAAAGGTAAGTTTCTTTACCCTCTCTTATATTTTAGGGTCTGAGACCAATTTAACCATTTGACTTCAGTTCCAAGTACTTGGTGATTTTAAAAATACAACAAAATAAAATGTAAAAGGTATGCACCCCAGAACAGCCCTTTGTGCCGTCTCCTTCCACCCTGCTTCTTCACCTCCACACAGAAGAGTGAAGCTGGGCATTGCAGGTTTGTTTTTGTTTTTGTTGTTGTTTTTGCCAACTCATAGCTTCTTTTTTGTTTTATGTTTGATTTCAGGTATAAGCTTTTTTTCCCCCCTTATAGCTAGTTTCTTGCTGGGCTATGCTATGCTGTTGGTTTCTTAGCCCTTTAAAACCATAAACTTCAATTGTTTTCCCATTGGTTAAAGAGAAGAAAAAGAATTTTATTGGCCAACAAATACTTTTTTTTAGAAATGAGAGGTCACTACTATGTTTCAGTAGTTCCTTTGCTGGCTCTGGAAAAAAGTGATAAGAATAGAGTCACTGTAAAGGAACAGAATCAATGTACATCATCAAGAGGTTTAACCAGCGAGTCAGGAGCTTTCTCCCACCTTTTTGTGGGTCCTGAGAGCAAAGCCAGGAAAAGAAGAATTTGAGTCCATAGAGGTTAGAGAGGTGTATATGTGAAGGGTTTTCTTTGTGCCTCAGGGTTTATGGGTCTATAGTTCCTTGTAATAGAGAAATGGAATTGTTTTTCTTCTCTATTCTTGTCTGTAATGAATAACACCCATTATGGGGTCAGGAACTTCTCTTTTACTTCCTTTACTTCTGCTTTAAACTGTGACATTGCTTAAGTTTCCTGGCCATGCACTTAGCCCTGATCCTTATCAAATAGTGTGTGCTATTATTATGTCCCGATCTTGAGGCTGGCTGGGGCTTGGGGTGATTGGTGTAGAATTCTCTCCTGTAGAAGTGTAAACCAGACATCAGAAATATGGCTGTTTGCTAACTTGGGTGTCAGTAAGCAGCCTCCCCTTATTTTGTAAATTTTAGGATGGGAGCAAGGGAAATGATTTACCAGTTAATTTACTGTGTCCTAGATGAAAAGATTAACTACTATCTTTTTTAATCTTGCCCTGGTAATAATTAGTAGTTGGATCCCACAGTGGTGAGACTTTGGTCTTTTGACTAGTTTGAGACAAATTCAGAGTTCCATGTTCATGTCCCCTTTATATGTTGGAGTCAGCCTTTTTGCCATACAAGGTGCTAAAACACCATAATGGAGCCTTGACTCCTGTAAGAAGCTCATGAAAAGCCCTCAGGAAAGCTGCCTCTGGTGGGATGGTCCCACAGCATGCAGCTCCTCCAGCCTAGTGGCAAAACTGACTTATTAGGAAAAGAGAAGTTAAAAAAAGGAAGGAAATTAGCCTTTATTGAATGTCTGAAACTTGCCAGATGTTGTGCCTTTTATTCATACCGGCTCTGTGGCGTTGATGTTATCCCCATTTTCCAGAACCCAAGGCCATACTTCCAGTTTTACAGCTAATAGTGGTGGAGCAGAAATCCTAGTCAGTCTTGTTTGTCTACAAAGAGTTGCTCTTTTCACTGTATAGTCTTAGGGCAACCTGTTCTTAAGTGTCTTTTCCATTCATTATACCAATTAGCGTTTTGGAAAACTACTGGCCTCTGTTGGGATTAAGCCCTGATCACACCTCAGTGTTAATTTCTTGAAATAGTAATTTCTGTCATGTAATCACTTAATCATTAGCACTCAGGTTATGAATATTTTGATTCCCAGCCCATCATTATGAGATTCCAGTTGTACTTATGACTTCCTTCCATCTACCTTAGTACAAGTAGTATTTGTTAAGCAACTATAATTTGTCACTAGCACTAGCATATTAACTAAATTACTGCCTCCCCCCATCTTTAAAGAACTTAGTCTCTGGAAGTGGGGATTCAAACATAAAACAGAGTGTGATTTTTGCTGCTAATTGAAATACAGGTGCTTTGGAGTGCAGAAGAGTAACACCTGGTGTGTGTGTGTGTATGTGTGTGTGTTGAAAAGGCTACTATAAAAAGCTGTCTGATTGGGTCTGAAAGTAGGAATTGTGGGGATGGAGGTAATAAGCCACATAGACAGAACGGCATGTAGGAAAGACCGTTAGCAAGAAGGCTTCATGCCATATTCAAGAAACTCAAGGCCTTTGTGGTTGAACCATACAGCCTCAGGTGGATCAAAAAATTCTGAAGCTGGAGAGGTGTTAGATGACCAAGGAAAGTTAAACTTGTGAGCCCTGGTAAGAAGG